CCGGGAAGAGCGCGGGGCTGAGGGGGAGGCTGCCTGGGAGTGGGACCGCGGGCGGCGCTGACAGCCCCCTGGGGCGGCCGCGGCCGGACGGGTGGCACTGCCCGGCACCTCCCGGCCCGGTACTGCCCCGGCGTGGACCGGCGAGCAGCGCCCTGTGCAGGCACCTCCCACCCCCTGCGCTGCGCCGGGCAGTCGGTGCCCACACCCACACACACACCACCTCTCTTCTCCCCCAGCTCGCTCTCCCTCACCAGCTCATACACATTCCCTAGCTCACCCCCACCTAAGCCAGCTCCACACATTTCCTTTCCCTTAATCCAGCTCGGTTACTTATACACACCCGTCTTCCCCCTAGCTCAGCTGTCTCTCTGTCTCACACACACGTGTGTGTGTGTGCGCCCCTCCTCCCCCCAAGCCATCTCCCTGGCCCCCCCAGGGATGAACCTGTAAGCACCTGAGGAACCAAGCTGCCCCTCCCTGGCTCCTGGCAGCTCCTTGGCTCTTAGTGGTCTCTTACTCAGGGTTTTCCTGAGTTCCCAGGTAAGACCCCATGTGTTGTTACCTTCCAGCAGCCTTGTAATCCTCTGCACTGACTAGGAGCCCCCAAATCAGCAGTGATACATCGCTGCTTGCCCAGAGAACAGTCAAGGTGAGCTCCTGTTGCTTAACTCTAAAAACATGTGGAGGCAGTTCTTTATGGCACTTCCCTTCAGTAAACTCGTTGAAAATCTTAGTAACAGCCCTACTTAATCCAATTCATAAATCTGTTTTCAAATCCAGGGAACCATCTCCCCCAATTCCTCAACACTTCTTCGTTTTTTAAAAAACAGCTGATCACAACATGAGCTGCAACTTTGTGTTTCAGTCTGTAAGAACAAATGTCCAGCTGTTACCAGAATTTCATGCATGATATTAATAACTAGCTTTTAAGTTCAGCAGTAACCAATAGGTGCAAATATTGTTGATCTAAATCTTTGTGTGTAATGATTGAGAAATGGAAATAACATCTCCTTCTGGATGTGCATCTAAAAGGGAGGACGAGAGAGATGGGAAACTTCTTTTCCTTTATACCTAAAGTGAATTTAGGGATGGCTGTTAAACTAGCATTATTTTCAATTAATTGAAACAAAGTTTTGTTTGACTTACACTTGATTTCTTGTTTTCTCCTTACCAGGGCTGCTAAAAATGACAGAATATAAGCTTGTCGTTGTTGGAGCTGGTGGTGTAGGCAAGAGCGCCTTGACAATTCAGCTAATTCAGAATCATTTTGTGGATGAATATGATCCTACAATAGAGGTAGACAGTTTCATTGTAACAGCATGTACATGTTTTTATAATACAAGAGGCAGATTGATTTTTCTCTCCTGTTGGTACTGTTTTTGTGACGTTTGTGAGTAGGCAGTGTAGTATTTTTTTCTCCCCTCAGGTACATTGTGGGATACACTTGAAACTAGATTTGAAGCCCTAGATTTTAGTCTATTGACTATTTATTTGGGAGTTGTTTTAGGTTGTTTGTTTGTTTTTTTTAAATAATTCTGTAAAAGAAGTACTGCCTTTTTAATTGTAAGGGAAATTACTGATGATGGCAGAAATCTCAAGTGGATCAGCATACTTGATAAACACAATTCCCTGCACAGGATCAGAAACAACACTATAGTTGAAATGCTGTGTTTACTTCCTTGGAGTCAAATTATGTGCATCGTGTTTTGCAAAACTAGGAATGCGCCGATAAAGATTTTTTTGGTCAATACCAATGGCCAATTATTAACCAGCCATATCAGCCAATACCAATCCAATAGCTGATATGCAGCCTAGCAGCATGGAAAGCAGCGTCCAGCCGGTCAGTCTGTTGTGGGGGGAGAGGGCAGGCTGGGGCTGGGGCTGGGGCAGGTGCTGGCACTGCCTGGGCAGGGCAGGGGCAGAGCTGAGAGGCATGGGGGGCATGTGCCCCACTGCATTTGTGTGCAGGGTAAGGGTGGGTTGCCCGCTGCAGGCTTGGAGCCAAGGGCTATGCTGGCCTCTTCCCAGTGAGGGGCCTGGGCTGTGCTTGGGGGGGGGGCAGGGCAGGGCA